TTTGCATTATTCTATTTAAAGCCTAGTGGGCTGCAGTATTTCTCCTCATAATTACGCAAATGCGCATCAAGATCTCTCTTTGTCTGGCCTCTTATTATGTGTTTCAGCGTAATTTTGCTGTGCAAATGCATTTATCATGCTCATAAAAATATGGAGATTATTTTAACCTTAAGAAATGTTGCGTTTTTTTTCTGCGGGGGTTCAGCGGGGGACCGCGTCAGTGGCCTCACCCGGAGGCTCCCGGCGGCAGGGACGCAGATGCAAACCCCCGTCTACTCATTGGCCAGCGGTTTATAGTACGGTGCGGCGCATATAATTACAAAATTGATTTTTCTTCATAAATCTGAGCATGCGGCTCTTAATCAGGTGCGGTCTGTAGCCCGGAATTTACGGTACTTCCCTCGGAATCGTGCCTCCCGTCGCATTTCTCTTTCGTGTTTTGTGCGTACATCTCACGTGAGCTTTGTGATACGCTCTTCTTTGGATGATTCGAATGAAAAACCTGACTGACATTCCCATTTCTTAAATGTCGAAAGAGATGCACCTTTCTGTGTTTTTTTTTTTTTTTTTTTTGCTGCCATCTCACTTGATCATCCGCGTGCTTCCTCAGCGTGCAGACTTAAAAGAGCAACTCGCATGCGCACACGTTAACTGTTCCGCCTCCCCCCCACCACTGAAAAAAAACCCACGAAAGTAAATGAGAAGAAAAACACTCACACACACCACACCGCAAACACACACGTAGGCACAAAGAAATCGTGTTGATCATACAGGAGCGATTCGATCGCGTACAGTCAACTCGTGCATGGCGATTGTTATGGGAAACAATTTTTCGGCACCGTAAAAATGATCCCACAGAAACAACACGCTACCGGTAACGATCGTTACTGTGAAATCCTCAGGCCTGCTCATATTTGCTTGAAAACACAAAGTGAATTTTCGCAAAAAGACTTTTACCATGGCACTGCGATGTTCGTCAGAACAACCCCTCCCCCCCTACTTTAAAAGGTCTAAACACACAGGAAAAATCATGAAACTCTGCAAGCACATTAGGTTTAGCAACAGCATCAATATTTTATGAGGTTACTGTGCGATTTTGAGATGATTGCTCAACAACGCCCCCTAAATATTTTCAGCGAAGCAGCGTTGGTTGAACATGTCATCAAGATCAATGAAATTTTGGAGGTAGATTTAATAGCCCAAAACTGACAAAAAAAAAAAAAAGTCTATTGAGCTATATGCTAAAGCGAATAGGAAGTTTTGAATATTCTTTCAGGTTTAGACACATTTTTGGCCTTTTATAAAGGACACATTTTTTAAAAACTCTAAGACTTCATCATATTTTCTTGAAACTGTGGGTGTTTCATCCTAAGATGTTCAAGGCGACCATGGAAATCAAAGCTTTTTATTTTGCCAAACGCTGGTGCCTGGGCAGCGGCTGTTTGCCAAGAAAAACGACGCAGATTTTGGCATGTTCGTAACGCAGAAAGCGGATAAACATACAGTATACAGGTACAGGTACACTGCAAATTCCTCGCTCTGGCAATTGACCAATCAGAACCGTTCACGGGAAAAATAATGCCAGCACAGAGCTGTCGGTCACGGCAAAAATAACCACTGTCTATAAAATTTGTGAATTTCATTCTATTTTCAGACTGTGACTGACATACGCTTAGACATGGGAGTCTAAAACGCTTAATGTGCGTGTAAAAAGGGATCGCTGCTAAAGATATGACATTACATCGTCTTCACAAAGATTTGCTTCATGATGCTCCATGATAATTCGAGGACAGTTGTGATAGTAAATCAAGTACAGTATTAGACACATCACCAACAAAGCATCTCTGACAGACGTCCTAAGTTAAATATGAATTCCTTGGTGATTGGTCAGAAATGAGATTGCGTTAGCATTTAGCCGCTAGCGTTATCCCCGGAAATATAACTTACCAGCTGGAGGAGACTCTGAGTCAAAACTTGAAAGGCCGAATCCAAGTACCCACAGTTCCAACCTTGTGCCCTTCACTTATGCGTTCACGTCGAAGCTGCGGCTTTGCCCCAACTCTCAAAAGTGCTCTGTCGCCTGGTACCTTTTGAGCCCTTGTTCCACACTTATGTTGAGCACGCCCAGCATCCACGACTCCTCGGTCGAGGCATATTACCCACAATGCTTTGCGGATTTGACCAAGGCAGACAAACTGGCGACGAGCCAAAAATGTTTTTTCAAGAGTATATACTGAAGTATTACATACTTTATACTTTGCAGGTATTTAATTTCCATGGATAAGTGAAAAACACATTCGCCTTCTAAAGTTACCTGCGTATTTTCTCCTAGTGTACTTTACCGTCGTTAGCGACCTTCTGCGCATGCGCCGCAATCGTGTCGGTGACGCCAACGGTTCAAATAATGGAGGCATGGCTCCCATCGACACGAAGATTGAGCCCGATTTATTTTACCTCGGCTTTATTTAAGTTTTAGTACAATTTTGAGCAGCAAAACCGCCAAAACTACAACCGGTGCGCAATCTTTAATGACACAGAGCATATATTGATGACGTCAGACACGGCGTCCCAATTTTCGTAAATTGCGGTGTCGAATGCAGCACTTCTTACACGTACTGTTCGGTGAGTACCAGAGAATGCAGTGAGCCGCTCAGCCAATGTGTGAAAAATGAGCGCAAACGGGGCGGGGTGATAGAGCACTGTGGAGTAGTGATGGGAATTCCGGCTCTTTTGAGAGAGCCGGTCTTTTGGCTCGGCTCACTAAAAAGAGCCGGCTCTTTCAGCTCCCAAATGGCTCCTCAGTTTTTTTTGTTGCTTAAATTAATTTACTACCAAAAATAATGTAAAATTATGTGTAAAATGAATTAGTAATGTTAAAAATATACAGTATATCAAATATTTATTATTTATATGGCTTTATTTATATTCTTCTGAACATACTTAACATGAGTACAACATGGAGTGCTACAAAAAATAAATTACAAAGTACAAAAACAAAGACCCATCTCAAAACAAGGTCAACAGAAAGTTCCAATCTCTGATTGTCTATATTTATTAGCTTGTAACTATTTACAGTAAAACAACATAAGTAAGCTTTGATTACCACACAAATTATAAATTAAAATTTGATATTGGATATTTTAACCTTGCACAGTCTACATGCTGCCTTTGAACTATCAATTAAGTTTAAATGAGTCCAAATTTCTCTGCGTTTCCTACCCATTTTCTCACCTTTCCACTTTCCACCGTGTTTTTTTTTCTCTGTAGCGCTATCGAGCTCTCTCGTCTCCCTGTCTCTCCTGTTTGTGTGCTCCTCACAGTGTGCTGCTGTGTGTCTGTAACTCCTCCCCCTTCTCTTCACTGCAGCGCGTGTGTAACCCTCCCCTCCCTCTTCTACCACTTACTTTTTTGCAAATCCTTTATCATAAGCAGACCGGTTGAGAGAGCAGTTCATCTTTGAAGTGGAGAAGACTCCTCGATGATGGTGTGAAATTCATTCGCTTCATGCGAATAAAATATGTCCATTTAAGTGCCCTGCTATCCTTCGGCCACTGGTACAGCTTTTCTGTCGATTGCGAACAATACATCACCACACACAGCCGTGGCATCTTACCAACAAGCAATGCAACAATGCTGTTCAATGGAAGGACTTCCCTTGCAGTTCTCCATGTGACGTCATTTCCGAAGATTGACGAACATTGCCGAAGAAAAGCATTTTCGTTGTCAAGGGCGTTGCTATGGGTTAAACAAAGAATCTGGAAGGGTTGCGTTAAAAAAAATAACGGAAATATGCTTATAATTGTTCAGCCATTGATATTACTCAAAAACATGGTTGGCCAATTTTACTTCACACTTGGCCTTTATTAAGGGGTTGGGTGTTTGTCAACCTGTGTAGTTGTTTGGTTGCCTGCTTGTTTTGTTTTTCTCTTTGTAATTTGATTTTCATTATTTTGTTGTAGAAGTGCTGTCATCATTTACCATATGTCTAATCTCTTTCAACGGGATGTGCCGTACATGTCGTAAAATCCCAATAAAAAGACGTGGGAAAAAAATTCTGCCTTGGTCACTGTGGAGACCAGCAGAACATGCCCTCCAGTAGCACATCTGCCAGTGTGTCTGCCTCCTTGTCTGGCAGTGCGTATGCCTGTGGCTGCTTTGTAAAATAGTCTATCCCGCAAACCACAGAATGGTTACCCCTGTCCGTCACAGGAAAGGGGCCCATAATTTCCACAGCAATTGTCTCCGTGGGCGCTCCAACCATGTGTTGCTGAAGTGGTGCATGCGGCAGGTTTTATGGGCGGCACTCTCATCACAACGCCGGCTAAAATCCTCCACATTCCATCGATGCTATCCCTAATACAACCCTTGGCGCAGCCATTGGAGGGTCTTGGTGCTGCCAAAGTGCCCCGAGCCAGTACCCTTAAGGCATGCTCTCAGCACTCTCTCTCTCTTAGAGCTCCGGGCACCACCACCGGCCACCTCTCCTCCCCTGGGAGGCTGGTACCTTCCACGCATACTGCAGCACGCCGTCCGTCCATGTGTCACACAGTGGACTTGCTCCAAAGACCTTTATTGCCAACAGACAGTCCCATCATACCTTCCCAGGGTGGCCTGCTGCCACTCTGGACCCACTGTTGCATAGGGTTGAGATCACAGTCCTCTTCCTGCTTGAGTCCACAACTTCCAAGGTGCAGAATGAAGATCAAGCAGAAGTCTCTTTCCCACACAACTCTAACTCTTTGGCATCCCACCGGTCGCAGTAGCTGCAGCTACCTACAGCAAATGGTCACAGAGAAATTGCATCAGCATCGGTGTACTTAGCCCCAGCCTGATGTACCACAGTGAAGTGGAAGGCCTGCAGCTCCTCCAGCCACCGTGCAACTTTGCCCTCTGGTTCACAGAATGACATCAACCACTTTAGTGCGGCGTGGTCTGATGGTGAAGGGCACGCCACACAAAGAGGATTTGAAATGGTGTGCAGCCAAAACAACTGCCAGCAGTTTACGTCTGGTGACACAGAATCATCAGTCACTCTCACTGAAGGTGCGGCTGGAGTAGGCAACCACTCGCTCAACCATGGCCCTCACCTGTGACAATACCATTCCAATGCTGACATTGTTAGTGTCCGTGTCGAGCACAAAAGACAAGGATGGGAGTAGAACAGGAGCGTTCACGAGGGTTTTTTTTAGGCTGGAAAATTCCTGCTGACAGTCTGGGTTGGTTGACTTGAAGGAGATGGAACAAGGACGCCCCGATGCAAGAAAACCGCCAGCCCCAAAAAGTTCTTAAGCTGCTTCTGGTTTCTTAGGACTGACCAGTCTTTGATGGTGCTGCCCTTATCATCCAGTGTCACCATTCCCTCTGTGGCCCAGGGACTCCACCTGTCGTCACATACAGTGAAATTTTTTCGAGGTGGAGTTTCAGTCCAGCTCCCGCAATTGTTCCCAGTACCAACTTCAGATAATCCAATCCGGTCTGAAAGTACCCACCTTGGACAAGGACGTCATCAAATACGCCAAGGACATTTACCTGGGAAGGTTTGAGAGCACCGTGTCCATCAAGCACTCAACTGTTCCGGGTGCCTTGCACAGTCCAAAATTTATGACCTTAAACTGCCAGTGTACTCGGGTGGTGCAGAAAGCCATCTTTGAGCCGGACTCAGTGGTGAGGGGGACTTGCCAGTAGCCAATGCACAGGTTGAGCAATGGGAACCACACAGACCCTGAAACCAGATCCAATGTCTCATCTATCCGTGGTAGTCCAACTCATTCTCACTGAAGGCGAAAATTTTCTCAAAGTCCCAGAGCACCTGCCACAACTGCTCCCACCGCTCGACATCCAAGACATTGCACTTCCTTTGCCAGATGGACCGTATCCCCCCAGTCCGGTTCTGTTCTACCTGACCTGGATACATTTTGCTGAAATGGCTGAACCGGATGTCATTGGCCCCCTCAGTGGGCAATCCATTTTGGGACAAGCAAAGTCTACTCAGCGGGGAGGGGAACCATTGCGCAGGTCGAGCGATGAGAACCACATGGACCGTGAGACCAGATCCAATGCCTTGTCTATCCGCGGAAGCGGGTAGCAGTCCTTGCTTCTCACTTTATTGAGTGGACTGTAGTCGCTTCCAGCGTGGTACGGACCTCCTGATCTGCGTCCTCCTGCTGGGCCAGAGGCAACCGTCGGGGCCGTATCTTTACTGGTCTTGCATCCCTGGTGTCCATATTCTCACCAAGTTAGTGAGGCCCACCTCATTCTCACTGGCAGCAAAAATTTTCTCAAAGTCCCAGAGCACCTGCCACAACTGCTCCCTCCTCTCGACAACACACACACACACACACACACACACACACACACACACACACACACACACACACACACACATTTTTAAAAAAAAAAGCACACTGGCCCCAAAATCAACAATATTTTATTACTTCATCATCTGTTTGAATTTGCACTTGTTCTCAATTAACAGGTTAAATCACTACAGTAACATTTGAAAACAATATGTACACTGATATTAACACACAAAATTAGAAACCGTTTAAAATTGCTCCTTGCAGAGCCTGCTCTACATCTCCAAACTTAGTTACATTTCTCCCTCTGAGAGTCCATTTGCATCATTGCCAATCCTTTATCGAAATTTAAATGGACTTTTTCTTGAACAGAATATGAGCCACTAAACTGCTTCGGTAAATCACCTGGCTGCATGTACAGCTCTTCACGAGGGAACAGTCAGAAGACAGTTAGTGTTGAAAGGTTTCGTTCTGTTTAAACACTAGGCAGTGAGTATACTTTTGACAGTAAAATGCATCTGGATGCTTTTTAAATATTACAAAACCTTATGCAAATTTGATGGTGCATCTAGTGTTACCAATACCCAACCAGTTAGTCCATTGCTACAATGCCTTATGAATCAAGATCACCTAACTACAGAACCACCCATCAATATTTAGAAGGGAAAGAGCCACACTGGCACAGCATCAATTATCCTAAAAATACCTCACTTTTACCCCTTTGTTATTTACATAAAAACACCACGAAAAGATCATGACTTGACTCTGCCCCAATCAAAAGCAGAACAGATTTAGAAGCTCGAGACCCCAGAACTAGCATCCCAGTCAACACATAAGCTTCAATTTAAAACGTATCTAACACAAGGTTTCTATCCCAAAATGGCCCATAAAACCAACAATGATGTACACCTGTTCCACCTAAGTTTCAGCAGCACAGGGTTAAAAAAAAGGGAAAGATTTAATCTGCTAGAATGAGAAGGAATGTAAAACAAAATATGACAGAACCTGAAATGACACTACAATGTTTACGTTTACACCAATCCTGAAGATAAATTCACTGAAATGTGTTATATACACTAGATTTGTAGTTGTTTTTTTTAATATTGGTCCAGTGACCTGTGCACTTGAGTAACATCAATTTGAATCAGCAGGCCTAAAACATGTGAAACAAAATAAGGGTAAAAACGACACTTTCATGTTAAAAGTAACTAAAACCACTCAAGCAAGCCGGATTTCATTCCAATCTCTTGTACTGTCACCAAAACAAATTGGAAACGTGTTCATTTAAACCACAATATCGAGTATGTATCACTCTGTTCTGTGCGTAAAATACACTCAAAGCTGGTGCACTAAAATAAAACCTTGTTAGCACAGCAGGTTGAGGTAGAAAGCAGCACTTGGAAAATTTGCATGCAATGAGTCATTAGGAAATTATTTTTAAAAATGTGATAAGAGTTCCTAATTTAGAAAAATTAAAAAAAAAGACTTAAGGAGGAAAGAAAGGGTTTTCTACAGCTATTTTGACCACCATACAACATTGATGACTGTGATCAGTTGGACACAAAAAAAAAAAAAACAGTAAAGGATGACTGACAACCAGCAAAAACAACCAGGGATCACTGTTCACACACATTAAGCAATCTCAGACATACACACCTTTTTTTGGGACAGTACAGCAGCAACAAGCTAATAAAATGTATTAACATGACCATGACGGCAGGCCTGAATCATGTTAATTGTATATCCCGTCTTTATTTGTCCAGGGAATTGTCATCTTCTTACAATAACCCAAAATTGACAATACATTGTCCCACACACGCATAATATAAAAGGGTTTAGGCGCTCAACTTCAGCAATCTCGATTTTCAGCTGCTTAAAAACAAAATTGCGAAGTTGATTCAAAAACAGGCAGTCAGTCCAAAAAATCTTCAGTGCTCGCGTGTTTCAGTTCAACCAGCAATGTACTCCTACTCCGCTGTTCGTCATAGCACTGGTGGGAGTTTCCTGTCACAAGTCTGTGACCTTATTCTCGACGGCGGCAGCAATTTGCTGTAGCCTGTAACCAAGCTGCATCTTCTGGGCTGTGGTGTCCTCCTCCAGTGCCGTGATTATCTGTGGGCAAGTAAGAAAATGTGTGGTGAGGTTGTGGGGAAAAATAGGCTCATTGTGACTTTGAAACAAGAAAGTTAGAAATATGTACCCCACCGTATTTATACTCTAATGTTACACACCAAATGCCTGTGAAGTGGAACACAGCCACATTGCAGTGGCTCCACTAAATGGAGCCATCACTATTGGATGTAACTCAGATAGTGTCATTAGCATTCCCACTCTTTTGTTAAAATTATTTTCCAGGACGATACACTGATACAGTGCGAGTCAAGTCACCATAACATACACTAATAAATTCCACCCCCAAGCTTTACAGAAATGTTACTTTTTACAATTGTAACATTTACCGTATTTTCTGCACTGTAAGGTGCTTCGGATTCTAAGGCGCACCTTCAATGAATGGCCTGTTTTCATATATAGGGCGCACTGCATTATAAGGCAAATAGAATAGAAGCTTCAATAGTGGCTACGGTTGCGCGATGCATCCACTAGTTCGGGGGTCGGCAATATGCGGCTCTCGAGCCACATGCGTCTCTTTAGCGTCCCCCCAGTGGCTCCGTAGAGCTTTTTGAAAAATGTTTGAAAATGGAAAAATATGGGAGTGAATTATATTTTCTTGTTTGAATATGCTTTCTGTCAGAGGACAAACATCACACAAACATTCTTAACATTTTCCGATGCTGTAAAAATGTGTCAAATAAATATTAAATGTCAACATTTCATCAACGAATATTTGCGTCATAGCCTGCGACACACGTTTCTATTACCAGGGCGGGATGTCAGTCAAGGGGCTGTTGTAAACCCCCCCCCCCCCAACAAAAAACAGGTTGGTTGTTCGTAAGGTAGATCTTCCATCAAAAAACTGGGCAACACTCCTCTACAGGATGAACTGCAAGGGGAAAAAAATGAATGCTCGTTGTGTATTTGTAGCCAACTTAGTCATGTTGATAGCAGGCTAATATTACTCAAATAGATACATACATCATGTGTTGCCTTCATTATAAGGCTTTTTATTTTTTGCAGCTCCAGACATATTTGTTTTTTTGTTTATTTTGGTCCAATATGGCTCTTACAACATTTTGGTTTGCCGACCCTTGCACTAGTTGGTGCTATGCTACAGGAATACAACACCATACAAACAGCTTTACCTATACAGAGCCTCCGTAACCCTTGTGCTGCAATTTCTACGATGTTTGTAACACATGGGTTACCCCATATGTTACAATTTCTACAATTTTTGTAGATTTTTGCGTATTCTTCATCACGTCATCTTTAAATCAAAGACACAGCATAAAAAGTGTGTGATATGAAATATTCCAATTCATGTTTTATTTATATAGATTTATATTTATGTTTTGGTCATAGCACAATACCGCTTTTATTGTCCATAGAGGGCAAAAATACAAAGAAAAAAATAAGAACTATATGTGTATGTATAGCACTGATGCCACTGAACATGTCGAGTGGTTGAAAGTGAAATAAATATTCAGGAATAATACTTTTACAATTTTTGTAAAATTGTATGTTGCGTTATATAAACTTATTTAGATCGACTGCAGCACATGGTTAAGCGCTCCAGCTGTAACAAAGCCATTAGAACTGGTCACATACACGGAAATGAAGTACATAAATACAAATTGCATTACAAAACAAATGAAAGCCAAACGTTCTGAAGACAACTGATTCAACAAAAAAGCATACAAACCTTGTGGTCTCACATCTGCAAGGAGCTAAACATCTTTACAAGTCTTGCTTGTCTTTTTCTTCCTTCATTTAGTCAGTAGTTAACTATGCTTTTGGTATTATCTTCGTTTCATAATGGCTGTGCAGAGCTCACAAATTAGTTCTCTGTTTGAGTGTGAGTTGGCGAATGCACGTCAATTAGTGATGGGCAGAACCCTTTTAGGTTACAATTAGTTCCTGAGAATAATCACCACTAAATGGCGTAGGAACACACTAACAGGGAAACAGTTCAATGGGGAATACAAAAAGACTGTGACACCAGATATAAGGCGCATTGGATTGTAGGATGGACTGTCTGCTTCTGGGAAAATTGAATGCTTTTACGTGCGCCTTATAGTGCGGAAAATATGGTATTTTGTATTTAATCAATGTTTATTCCTCTGCCTCTCTCTTTCTTGTACTTTCTTGACAAAATATTTTTATATGTTCAAGAAATTAGAAAAAAAAAAATGTTTGTTTGTTTACTGTGATTGTGCGGGTGATGGGAGGCCAAGCCAATGCCAGCACCCAGTGGCGTTCCGTCAGGGCCTTCAACGCCTTCTCTATAGGCGCAAACACTTTCAGAAACACAGAGCAACATTTACAACTTAAATCAAGTGGAAATAATTTATTTCAAACAGTCGTTTGTCTACATTTCATTGCTTATATCTTGGCCGCGTGGCGTCAGTCCTCTGTGGGTTAATTCTTTTTTCAATCTATTAACATATACATATTATTTAATCTAACACCTTCAGCATGTCTAGTGCAGGCGTCGACGGGCGCCGCCCACACACACACACACACACACACACACACACACACACACACACACACACACACACACACACACACACACACACACACACCACTGAAATCGCTGGTTCTTCTTTTAGCCAATCAGATTGGAAATTCACCACCAGATAGCGAGTACGATGTTATTTATTTGAAGTTTTTATATTGATAAGAATTGATTGCGAAGTACTATATTGTATTGAAGAGGTTTGGAGTTATTGTAGTGATGTATTGGAAGATAAAGGCCACTGTGTTATTATTATTATTATTATTATTATTATTATTATTTTTTTTTTGGTAACATCCTTAAATATGTAAAATACTCTTTAATGCCACACATCGAACTCTTTCGCAATGATGTTTGCGGGTGAGAGTGCTTGGAACGGAGACTACACATACAATCGTCTGTGAATTTGCAAGGGTGTTTTTACAGGGATGAGAGTGGCTAGTGATGAAAAAATCTGAAAACCAGCCGGGGATCTGGGGGCCCCAGGCCCCTAGTAGGGTCCAGGGGCAACGCCCTGGATGGGGGCCCAGGGGGCAAAGGCCCCGGAAGCTAATGGGTTTTAGAGATTTTAAAGCCTTAAAACCATGAATTTTACCAACATATTTTTACATTTTTTGTTGAAATACCATCCTCTGGTTGCATATAAAATTGACACTTCATACGAAAAGTAGAAGTTTATTTGGAGTACATACATTAGTTTATGGATTTTAGAAGCCTTAAAACCATTAATTCCCTATTTGCTTACAAAATTGGCACTTTATACTAAACATGCTAAAGATGAAGTGTATTCAATGTACACACTACTTGAAACTTTCACAGAAAAAAAATCCCAATAGATTGTTCACTAATCTTTCAAGAGAAAATTTGACATAGGCCTTTGTGCAATTTTGCTTATGCATTCCTGGTGAGCACCAACATGTAACTTCAAATTTGCTGCTCAAAATCAAAACTAAAAAAGGAAACACATTCCCTGCCATATTTAAGATTTGTTCATTACTTGTATTCATAAAATGTGTAAATATGATAAAAAGCGGTTGATTCTTACCTCATACAGTGATAGTTAAGTCCCAAACTGTTTACTATATACGGGTTATCAATGCATTTTATCCTATAAAGTGAATGTCTATTGACAGTATATACAACTATGTACAGTTTCATAATGTAGAATGTTTATTTTCTCTTCATTTAAGCTTTTTAGCAAGAGCTAAAAGCTTGTTGGTCCTCTCTGTCTTTTTCACTCTTGTTTTAGCCAACTTCTCTTGTTTTTTTCACATACTTCAGCCTTGCTTTCTTCTGCTCCCTATAAAATTCATCCGCGCTTGAGATCAAGCTGTTACTTTTCAGTCGAAAGTGTTTCACCAAGGTTGCGTGACTCGGTAAAGCTTTCCATCCTCTCGATCTGAATAGAATGAAAATCGTCACACACTGTACACAGAGCTTTACCAGCGACATCCAGCTTTTTCACGAAATCCGACACAAGCACAGACAATGGTTCCTCTTTACTGGTTCCCACTGTTGACACAGTCAGCTTTCTATCCAACCAGTCCCATCGAAACGCATCTATCACGAGTCTCGATAACATTTGGCATTTGTTAATACAGAGAACATACACGACTAATTTCAATACACTACATCTCTCGTGCAAAACCATTCAGAATTCGCGGGAAAGGGGTTTAGGAAGGCGAACACGGATTGGTTGTGATTCTGCATTTGCTGATATAGCGACCAATCACAAGTAAGACATTAGTTTTAGCCCATATACGAAGTAACGACAAACTAACGCTTCGTGAGAAAAAATGGTATTCAAAATGGATGCTTGCAAACTTGATTTGTAAACATTACGAGTCCCGAGTCTGCTGAAGACAAGTATGTCCGGCAGCCCAGAAATAACACCAGACCCTAACTCCGCCCCCCCTAAAATTTTCGCAACGGATTTGGAACAATATAAAAAACGTCCATTTTGACTGGAAATAAGCGGAAATCCGCCAACAACTTGAACAACTTATTGAATGTATTCAAGAAATGCAGTATATATAATGAATATGAGTCATTTGATATAAAAAGTAGAAAGAACAATGATACATATATACAAACCGAAAGGTGTATCAATAGATAAGTATAGTACACAAAAGGGTAAAAGTATTTGATGAAATTTAGATTTCTTCTTTTTCTTTGGTATTGGAAATGATCAATATACATTATTGCACAACAAGGGGTAGGACTAGATAAGTTGTATACTTCTTCCTACTCCTTTGAACATATAACTGTGATGATGTTTGTATTACTTACTTTTACTTTTATTTTCCTTTCATAATTTTTGTTTGCATTTTGTCATGTTATTGTATGTTTTATATATGTTCAATAAACAAACAAACAAACAAAACAAACAAACAAACAAACAAACAAAACAAGCAGAAAGATCTCATCCCTGTTTTAGGAACAGTTTAGTCACATGCTCTGCAGTGTGAATGTGCCCATATTTATCCATCCATCCATCCATTCATTTTCTGATCCGCTTTATCCTCACAATGGTCACGGGGAGTGCTTGGAGCCTATGCCAGCCATCTTCAGGCAATAGGCGGGGTACACCCTGAACCAGTTGCCAGCCATTCGCAGGGCACACACAGACGAACAACCATCTGCACTCACACCTACACCTTGGGAAAATTTAGAGTGTTCCATTAACCTGCCACGCATGTTTTCGGAATGTGGGAGGAAACCGGAGTACCCGGAGAAAACCCACGCAAGCACGGGGAGAACATGCAGTTTCCACACGCACCTTGCGTGTGGAAATTGCACCTCATAATCGAACCTTGCACCGATGCACCGTGAGGCCGGCGTGCTAATCAGTGAGGTGCATTATGAATTGCGAAACATGGCAACTATTTAGCAACAAAGGTTCTCCATCAACAAGAATGGGAAATAATTCCACCTACAAAGCTTCTTTCATGTCTCTTTACAGTTTTCATGGTCAGCCCATTAACGGGCTCTGTAAAGGCTTGGTAAGGATTTTTTTCATATGACTTTGATTGAGGTTTTGTCAACATCTTTCAATCTTTTTTTCTTTTAGTCATTTTAACAACAACAGAAAGCCACTATTATGTCTTTACTTTTCAATGTTTTGAAAGTTTTCTGTAAATGTGTTTAAATGTCGTCAATTTATGTTCTTTTACTCATTTCTGTAAGCTACTTTTGCTTTCTCTGCTTTGCTTCAGGTGTCATTCAATGCCACGTTTGTAAATGCTTGTAGGTATTGTTTCTTTGTTTGTGAGAATCACACTCACTTGCCTTCTATATAAGAGGTGCAAAATGAATAAAGCTGCCTTGGCCTTGATTTGGGGTGCTGTGCTGGCTAGAAGCAGAGATGAAGCAGGAAAGCGCTACAGCTCGGTGTTGCCCATTGAAGGCAGTTGAAAACACACATTTATGTCCGTTTAAACCAATCTGCGTTCACCGACAAAACAATGATAAGCAGAGGGAGGAAAAATAATTTTCTAGGACAGGTTTTACAGGGATTTTTCCTTTTTTCCCTCATTTTCCATGTGTTTTCAATGGCTGGAAAACTGGTCAATCATTTTCAAAGTTTTCCAGGACATGTGGGACCCTTGTCAGCTGATGTCGCTTGTTGCTCGGCCTTGATTGAATGCGTTCACCAATCTGAGCGGTGTTGACCAAGTAAGATTGTTGACATTCTTTTTACCTAGTTATGCAAACAGGCTTCCCCAGCCACTTTTTATTGGAGTTCAGTGGGCTCAATCCTAACTCTCATAGGCCACATGGCTATTCTCATGCACATATCCGACTGATGCACTGATAGATCGCGCATTACGTACCTGGTCATAGTACTTATTGATGTACTTGTAGAGCTCATGCAGTGCAACCAAGTAGTTCAGTTCTCCCGAATAGTTCTGCAACAAAAGTCATATTAGCAGTCAATCCAAATCATCAAAGAGAAATGGACATCTTGTGTTTTAAAGTCGCATCTTATATTCATATGGATCTACCTCACCCAAAGTTGAACATTGTATCGTGAGACTTCGATTTCTACTCAGTGTTTTTTTTTTTTTTTAATACCATCACACATCATCGAAATGGTAGAGAGAAATACATTATTGTGTAGGAAGACCACAGAATCAGAAATGTTAATGCAAAGTGGCAAAATGCAAATATGACTGCTCATTAAAATACTGGTAAAAATAAACAAAGAATGGATATATGGATGGATGGATGAATATATTCAGAAAGTCCTGTAAACTGAGTTTAATCTTTATGGCAACACAAAGGTAAAAAATAACCCGAACTGGGTCAAAAAGGGACCAATGTAACTTTTTGGGTTATTCATATAACCCCAAAAAGTGGGTCAGATAAATTAATATCACCCAAAAAGGTGGGTCGAATTAAATAACCCAAATATTGGGTTGTTTTGTACAAACCTCTCCAAAATGACTTGTTTTGTGGTTTAGTCACTTGCCACAACTTTGTGGGTGAAATAAATAACCCAAAAAGTTGGGTTGATCCCCTTTCGAAATGTTTTGGGTTATTTTTGGCCATAGCCTGGTGTTTGGTACAAGTATGTTTGTTCCAGCTGCTCAGAGAATATGGCTTTCAGTTGACAGTGTTGAAAATGGACCTAAAAACATTGCCTGTACAATTATAATAATTATCCTCTTTTGAACTCCCCCATCCCTCAATAATGTCAGACTTCATTATCAAATCCAAATCCTGTCAGATAGAACCCCCCCCCCCCGTCCTGGTAAATCCTCTCTGCTTCCTTTCATCTCAGTCATCATTCATTCTTCATTGTCCACTGGAATTGTTCCTGTCCCCTTCAAAATTGCAGCTGTCACTCCAATCCTGAAAAATTCAAATTATTTCAATAACCTATACCCCATTTCTCACCTTCCTCCAAAATTCTTGAAAAAATTGTTGCCTCTCAACTTCACTCCCACCTTACTTATAACAATCTGTACGAACAATTCCAGTCTGGGTTCCGTCCCCGTCACAGTACAGAAATAGCCCTCATAAAAATCACTAACAACCTTCTCATGGCAGCAGACTCCGGTTTAACCTTCATCCTCATCCTCCTCGACCTGAGTACAGCTTTTGACTCCATTTCTCACCCCATCCTCCTTAATAGACTCTCCACCATAGGCATCACCCACACCCCCCTACGCTGGTTTCATTCTTATCTCATTGGCCGCTCTCAGTTCATCCAACTCAACTCTTTCACCTCACAGTCCTTCCCCGTCTCTTCTGGTGTGCCCCAGGGCTCTGTCCTGGGACCCCTCCTCTTCATTATCTACCTTCTCCCCCTTGGCAATATTTTCCGTAATTTTGGTATACACTTTCACTGCTTCGCGGATGACATCCAGCTGTACCTCTCCAGCAAACCCGACGCCTCCCCCCCACCCTCCTCCCTCTCACGCTGCCTCTCAAAAATCCACTCTTGGTTCAACCATAGCTTCCTCAAACTGAACAGCTGATAAAACAGAACTCCTGCTCGTCGGTACCAAATCCACCCTACACAAAGCCGACAGTGTCTTCCTAACAATTGATAGCTTCACTGTCTCCCCCTCCCTTCAGGTTAAGAGCCTGGGTGTCATCCTTGATAACTCACGATCTTTCCACTCCCACATCAATAACATAACCCGGTCCGCATATTTACACCTACGTAATATCTATCGTCTCCGTCCCTCTCTCACCCCTCACACCACCGCTATCCTTGTCCACAGTCTCGTCACCTCCCGTATTGATTACTGCAATTCACTTCTTTTCGGTGTCCATCACAAACTCCTCCATAAACTTCAACTGGTCCAGAATTCTTCAGCCCGGATCATCACTAGAACCCCCTCCTTTCATCACATCACCCTCACCCCAACCGACAGCTCCACTGGCTCCCTGTCAAACTTAGAATCAATTACAAAATACTTCTCTAAACATTTAAAGCCATCCATAACCTTACACCCCCCGATCTGTCTGATCTTCTTCAAATTTCTGTTCCCTCTCATTCCCTCAGGTCCTCCTACTCCCTCCACCTCTGTGTACCCTCTGCCCGTCTCAACACGATGGGGTGCAGAGCTTTCAGCCGCTCTGCCCCCAAACTCTGGAACTCACTTCCACCCAACATCCGTAATATTGATTCCCTTCCCACATTCAAATCCCAACTCTAAACCCACCTATTCAAAATCGCATACTCAATTTAAATTAATCTCTTCTTTTATTATTTATATTTATTACAGTGATGGTCTGTTTCTGGAACGTACTGCATTTCAAATAAAACCGATCCCTGCACTCACCCTTGAGAGTTCAGCCAGAGCAGAGTTCATCTCCTGGTCGCTGGCAGAGATGGTCTGCCTGATGTCAGCATAGTATCTGCAATAACGTTATGTTAGTTGACAGAGGTTCAAAGCTGCTTCATGTGCACTTGAACAGACTTTGTACCAAAAGGACATTTTTCAGTCGTAAAGGAAATGTGATCATACCTTTCTACCATCTGTTTGTAACGGGGGATATCTCTAGCATACAGCAACTTGTTGATGGGAGAATCCTGTGTAAAAAAGCAGTGCCATTAACATTGATTTCATGTCGGACCCCAGAAGTGACCGTTCTAACTTCTTTGAGGACTAACTTTTCAATCATGAAATACATTATCGGATGAAAAGCCACATCATTTTTTGTTGTTGTTGTGGTTGTTTGGGAATTTCCTCCCCTTACCCGTCCCAGTTTGTGGTCAGCAATGGTGCAGGAGTCCATGAAGGTCTGAGCGATGACTGAAAGCACTGCGTCCACATGGTCTGAGGCTTGCACGTCAAATATGAACTGGGGATTTTTCACAATGTTGATCCAGAAACGCAGTGGGAGACTAGAATTACATAGGATATGTTTGTATTCAACAAGTTACACTGGCTGGTTATTTCTAACAAACCCATTTAGACTTGAATTAGATCTTTTAAATACATCAAAGGGCTGCAACAGCCTTTGGATATTTGTTAAAGGCAGACTCAGTAGTCTTGGTCCTGTCTCTATACTGCACCTGTTGGTCTTCCAAATGTGTATCGTCTCTGGGTCAAAAATACTGTGCTGACCAGCTTGGTCATCCAGCAAGTCAAAGAAGTATTTGACAGCCAGTGGGACGGGTCGACTGGTGCTGAGGATAACTGTAAACAAATCGTCTACGAATTTCTGCAGCGTCCCCTGACAACCACAAAAGAAAGGAAAGAGGGACACAATCATTTCATGCATGTTTTGCAAAATTGTTTCTGACATATTTCTTTATTTTACAATATTCCCTTAATGTCTATCAGGACAATTGTCCTTTAAGTGTGGAAAAATCATGACTGTGATTTTATATTTCTGAAAAACTTTGTTGTGCCTATCGTTTTAAAGGACAATTTGTCCTGACCTGATAGGATGCCTCAGTCTGGTCCTCGAGACCCCTATCCAGTCTGTTTTAGATGTCTCCCTCCTCCAATACATCTGATTCAAATGATCAGGATCATTATCGGACTTCTGCAAAGCTTACTGATGAACTATTGAACCATGCACACCGAATTCAAACAGCTTCTTCTATATCGCCATTAACTCTCGAAACAATTGACTCCAATTCTATCGTGGTACTAATAATAATAATAATACATTTTATTTATAAGCGCCTTTCAAAATACCCAAGGACACTTTACAATCAAAAGAGCAAGAAAACCACAGATAAAATTATAAAGAATAAAAGCGATGAGGTTAAACTGTATATGCAATTTTAAATAGGTGGGTTTTAAGATGAGTTTTGAATATAGGAAGAGAGTCAATATTTCGGATGTCGGGTGGGAGTGAGTTCCAGAGTTTGGGGGCAGAGCGGCTGAAAGCTCTGCACCCCATCGTGCTGAGACGGGCAGAGGGTACACAGAGGTGGAGGGAGGCTGAGGACCTAAGGGAGCGAGACGGAACAGAAATTTGAAGAAGGTCCGACAGATAGGGGGGGGCAAGGTTATGGATGGCTTTGAATGTGAAGAGGAGTATTTTGAAGTTGATCCTCAGTTTGACAGGGAGCCAGTGCAGCTGTTGGAGGATAGGGGTGATGTGATGGAAGGAAGGGGTTCCAGTGATGATACGGGCCGAAGAATTCTGGACCAATTGAAGTTTATGGAGGAATTTGTTGTGGACACCGAAGAGAAGTGAGTTGCAATAGTCAATACGGGAGGTGACGAGACTGTGGACAAGGATGGCAGTGGACTGGTGCCAGCAGAATCAACTCCAGATCAACCCTAGGAAAACTAAGGAGTTGGTTGTGGATTTCTGCAGGCAACAATCCTCACCAGCACTGATGAACATCCAGGGTATGGACATAGAGAGGGTGACCTCCTACAAGTACCTGGGTGTTCTTCTCAACAACAAACTGGACTGGTCGACTAACACGGACACCCTGATTAGGAAAGGTCAGAGCAGACTTTTCCTACTCAGGAAACTGAGGTCTTTTGGGGTTCAGGGGTCACTCCTTAAGACTTTCTATAACTCGGTGGTGGCCTCGGCCATCCATTATGGCATTGTCTGCTGGTCAGGCA